GATATAGTTGTTGACCTAGACAATCCGGTTCCGTAATTATTTACCAACAAATAACAGATATTATTATAGTGGAGTGAACCTAACTCAAACACTATGGTGAAACCACATAGCTACTATGTATAAGATACAGGGTGTCCCAGAATGGGTGAATCAAACTGCTAGGGGAGGTAGCTCTACTAATGCTCAACAAAAAAATATGAAAAAAAAAATTGAGTTCGGATTTTTTTTTAAATAAAGTGCTCTAAACTCGAAATCTAGTCATTATTTTCAGAAGTTTGTTTAAAATACAGATAAACGAAGCGATCATGTACAATTAATATTAGTAAGAAAAAAGTACAAATAAACTCCAAACGCAGCAATTATAGCCAGATACTTTGGCAAAGCTGATTTAAATAAAAAAATATAAATCAATATCTTTGGACATTTTACACTGCGCTTCTAGTCCCAAACTAAGCAAAGCTTGTACTATGGGTACTAGACAACGGATATAAACACACTTAAAAACTTTTTTTTTTAAATACATACTTATTATACATAAAAAACACCCAGTCCAAATACAAACAAATATGTTCATGCACACAAATGTTTGTACTGTGCGGGAATCGAACCCGCTACCTCCGGAATAGTAGTCCGTTTCGAATTTATTTTCACTTTTAAAAAAAGAAATTTTGTTTCCTTGTGCGCTTTAATTTTTTTTTCATATTTTTTAGAGATAGTACATTAGTAGAGCTACCTCCCCTAGCAGTTTGATTCACCCATTCTGGGACACCCTGTATAAATAAAAAGCTCTATCCCCTCATAACATTTTGTTTGTATTCTACCTTAAGTTAGTTTTCGCTATTAAATGGTTTTAAGTTAGTGTTAATTAGTATTAATAGTTTATTTAATAGCTCAGTAAAGCCCTACTTTTTAACCTACTTGGAGGGATTATATCAGTAGAAATATTAAGTNGTAATCCCTAAATGACTAATAGAAGATCAATAAAAATGGTACCATTTTAAAGGAGATATTATAAACTTAAAATTGATACCATAGATACATACAATACATAGTCATTCAGTTCTTAAGATCGCTTGGAACACAAAGGGGTGATTCCATACTTTTGCTCGTAAGTATAGTATACTTGTGAATTATGAATAAATGGAATGGTATTTCGTCACTAAAGTGTCTTACCTCCTCCCTAAGCAGCGCGAAGTGCGGTTCATGCGTGCACATGCCCAGCATGATCAAATCCGCATCGAGCCCGTACAGGCAGTGCCGAGTATTAGGATCGTAGCCTGGCTGCGAGCGCGACCACCGAATGTAGTCCATTATCTTGTGCTCGCCTTCGCCTGGCGTCTGGGGAAAGAGGCTTTATTCAATTCAAACGGTTTAAAATCCCAACTTAATATTATAAATGCGAAAGTAACTTTGTCTGTCTGTCTGTCTGTCTGTTACGCTTTACCGCTTAAACCTCGCAACCGATTTTGATGAAATTTGGCATAGAGATAGTTTGAGTCCCGGGAATGAACATAGGATAGTTTTTATCCCGGTTTTTGAAACAGGGACGCGCGCGATAAAGTTTTTCTGTGACAGACAAAATTCCACGCGGGCGAAGCCGCGGGCGGAAAGCTAGTTTTTGTTATAAAAAAGCATTAAAAATTAAAATAATAGACAAAAAAACCTTTCAAACTTGAAAGAATATAGCCTCAGATGGGAATTGGACCTACGACTACGATCACTCAATTGCTATTTGCTTATTGCCAAAAAAGTTCATAACTAGTCATTTAAATTGAATTGAATAGAAGCGCTAAACACATCAGAATCTGTAGAGCTTCAATAATTAACATGTGGCCACTAATTTATTTCAATAGTTGTTAACACGAATTTGCAACAGTGACAATATGTAAATTAGCACCGTNCCAAAAATCGCATGTCCCTATTCCTATCACAACGTTTGCAATGATTGTTTGATAATGTTTAAGCAAATGTTGTGATAGGGATAGAGACATGCGATTTTTGGTTTTACAAAGATAATACGATAGAGAATAATACAAAGTAATAAAAACCACCGGTTATAGGGGCATTTTTTGGAGAAATTTATCAAATAACCAAAAAAACACGAATTTTTAAGCAGATTTTTTTCAAAAAGTATCATTTTTTATTATTTGTTGGCCTTTTTTGTGTATTTTATGTATTTTTTCAGTATCGCCTGTTATTTAGCATTATTACTGTTTTTATTTTATCAGGATATACCGCTTAGTTTAAAAGTTATTACGTTTTCTTTACAATAAGTAATCGGAAGAAAAAAAATTCTATAAAAAAATTAAAAAAAATCTCAAAAAAATTTTGACCTCTTTTTTGTCGATAAAAATAGGTCTAGTTTCATCTATTTTCATATGTACACTAAAGTGTACACGTTAAAACGTGACTCACACTGTATTATTAACTAATTATTGAAATTTGGGCGAAAAGCCTATTCATGCTAAATCATGTATATCCTCCGCCATTTTCCGCAGTTTGGCACCTCTCGTCACATCATTTTACCGAAGTCAGCCCTATAGCCTCGGCGCAGTGCCGATCACTGACGTTTGTCAACAAAATGGTGCTTGACTCTTGAGACAGGCTAAATTACACCATATTATTAATGACATTTAGCATACATTTTTTTAAATACCTTCGAGAAGTAAAACTTCTGTACTTATTATTATTCTGTGACCTAAGTTAAAACTGGCGCGGGCGCCCGCACCACGTCTGTATCGAAAAACAATATGAGCGCAGTGTGGCACGGACGGGTTTTCGCGCGCGCGGCTGGTGCTCATGTAAGTTTTAGCGTAGGCCCTAGTCTCACAGTCAAATTAAAACCCGCGTACTAGTAATTAGCCATAGCTGTGGTCATGCTAAAACAGTATTAAGTTGATAAGGTTTTCACATAGATACTATAGGATTTCTTATTTCCGCTCTGGCTATTTCTAGAGTCAATCATTCATAAGTATGAAATTGTACGAATTATTGCCTACCCCAAGTGAAAATGGTTAAGATAAAATTTGATTAGACTGGACTGAATAGAAAAAGATATGAATCATCATAGCAAATATGATTTTTTTGCAAAGAAATCCCACTCATTTCCTATTCAGGAGCATGTAAATTCTCATGTTTTGCCAACTTATGCACTATTATGCACCATTTGAGTCTTATACAAGACTCAAATGGTGCACTCACCCTGACTGGCCGCCGTCCAGTTGTATACGAGCATGGGCCCGTGTGTGTTCCGCTTTATCTCTTCTTCGGTCAGCTTCTCGTAGCATGGCGCCATTGCCAATAGCAAATTCGTCTGCAAGAAAGTGTTTTATTTGAATATACAAAATGTTGAATTTTACTCGTCAGGGTTGCTGCCTGCTACACACATCGTCCCTCGCATGACTAACTATCCTATCTCAGTTTTTCCACTTTCTCAAAACCACGGGTTTTCAGTTAGGTCATTTTAAAATTAGTTTCTGTTTATACTTTACGGACCTCGTGGGAGGAAAATAGGTACATACAGATACGTGAGTTAGAGAAAATCGTAGACAATGGAAGCAGGAAAAAATTTGTAGTCCGTTAGGACTTGAGTTATCAAATCGCCAAAAGACTGAGATAGGATAGTTAGTCATGCGAGGGACGACATAACATAAGCGAGCCAGCATTTGGTGAACGACCGATTGCTCTGCAAAACTAACTGAATAGAGCTGAATAGTGCCAAAAGAACAGGAATTTTACATTTCAGACATCGTTTTTTTTCACAAATGTTTATGGGTCTTAACATAAGGCAATAAAGTTCAAAATTGGTAAACTCACCTCATCAATAAACGGTATGAGAACGACGGCCTCCCAGTCGTTCTTCTTGCCATTAAGGTCGGTTTCGAAGTGCACCGGGTAGTAGTGCAGTATAGGCGAGTCTTCTTCCGTCATCAGCTCGTGGAAAGGCGTGGGTAGTAAGTGCTTGCTGGCCGACGGTAGTACAGCTAGGAGCTGGTTAGACAAAAGTAAATAAGTCATAAAGTTCGTTAAATCTACCGCTGTTTCGAGACAATAATGGGCTAGTGCTAAGAAGCAGCGAATCCTCGCCTCTATTACCTTAATAATAATTTTAAGCATCACTTTTTTAAGACATAAAATTCATTGTTTCTTGATACCTACCACCACCGGTCCCACTGTATTACTCCGAATTTATGCGAAGTTTCGAATGTTGCCGTCCCATTTACGCAAAGCGAGAAGGCAGCATGAGCGTCGGTGACAGATAAACCCAAAACTACGTAAGCTGCGTTTCAGAGTAGCCCTGCCGATTCTATTGCTGCAGACTATATTTTTTCTTACATTTAAGAAGCACGGTACATCGTACCATAAGAAGTTATCCAAAGTTTCAAATGTCGCCATCCCTCTCACGCTAAGCGAGATAGCAGCGTGAGCAACGGTGACAGAGAGACCCGAAACTACGTTGCTGCGTTTCAGAGTAACCCTGAAGTTTCTATCAATCACCGCTTGCTATAATTTTTCTTATATTTGTGAGAAAAATTCTGCCAACCGGGAGAGATGGTGAGAGATTATCCGGAGAGCTGTATCCGCCTCTACAAATGGCGTAAACGTTTCAATGTGACCACGACCGCTCTGCTAACAGCTAAACGACTGAAAAAAAGAGGAAGAAAAAGCACATCGTACCTGCTCAAAAGGTTTAAAGGGCTCTCCCTTCTCTAACTCGATCTTCAAGTGGCTGAAGCCCTTGATGTCGGAGATGTAGGGCGCGTACGCGTAGTGGTGCGGGTAGTACCAGCACCACGACGCGCAGCCCTTGTAGTAGTACCACAGGTTCCACTGTATTACCAGCGGGGTTACTCCGAAAAACGTTATCCGAGGTTCCGAATGTTGCCATCCCTTTCACGCAAAGCGAGATGACAGCATGAGCGAAGGAGACCCGAAACTACGTAAGCAGCGTTTCGGATCCTATAGCACCGGACAATATTGAGAAGCATCGTATATCGTACCTGCTCAAAAGGCTTGAAGGGCTCTCCCTTCTCGAACTCGATCTTCAAGTGGCTGAAGCCCTTGATGTCGGAGATATAGGGCGCGTAGTGGTGCGGGTAGTACCAGCACCACGACGCGCAGCCCTTGTAGTAGTACCAAAGGTTCCACTGGATGGCTCGAACGTAGCCTTCCGCCTGGTCCGCTAACACTTCCCTGTAATACGCGGCTATTAAGGATTAAGTTTCTAAAATTCTTTAATGGTTTCCTAAAAAAACTTAGTCCGTCAGTTAATTATCAAAAAATATTGGACACGTATATTTTTATTTGTCAATCAAACAAGCAATTAGAGAGGAACTACACTGAACTGTCCTTTATTTGACACTGACAGGTGGGCCACCGTCAATAGCGGATCGCTAATTCCGACTTTTGCCACGGTGGAAACCGTGTAGTTGAACGAAGATGGTGGCGCCCTTCTGTCAATGTCGTCGGTGGGACATTTCAGTGTAGTTCATCTTTACGAAGTTATGACGCGTTTAAGTTCCGCGTGACGTCACAAAGTGCTACACTTTTAAGCACGCCTTGACCTCACAGGCTTCTTCTTAATAACTTTGGAACGCTGTATTTCTTTCAATTATCATTTGTTTGAAAAAAATCAAAATACGTGTCGAGTATTTTTGATAATGTAATTGACGGACTAAAAGTTTTTTTCAGTAAACGCTAGAACTCACTCTAAGTTCTTGAGAGAATTTAAAGTTTTTTTGCGAAATTAAAAATAAACTACCAAATATGATGCTTCTCTTAAACGGTAAGGAATCAACACTACAAAATACCAATGATATAAACAAAACGATTACTTACTTAGTGACTTTTGTATAGTCTAACTTATTCATATAATAATCTTTTTTGTGCAATAAGAACTCCATTTCTATGTTGGCCTCCTCTGTAAACAAAATGAAATTTTTGTTTTAATCAATTTTAAGTCACAAATACTAATTTCTTTTGACTTAGTTTTAAATCAAGAAATAATCACCATCACTAGTTTCTTCGTATCCATCTGATTCGTCTGCTTCCTCTAAAAACTGAAAAAATACAACAATAATTGTATTATTATTTATTATTTATTTATTTAAAACAAAGTTTTGCTGATCCGCACCACTTATTTGGCACCTCCACTTAAAACATCCCTCCTTTTGCGTTGAGGGTTAAACACAGGACTTTGTCCGTATACCTACGGAAGAATGTAATAATTTGATAAAGCCTGGTCTGTGAGCACGTAGAATTTTGTCCAATGACCCCAAGCTACCCATCTTTATCGCTCGCGCGTAATTATGTTGCTGTCGCGCTCGCACACTCACTGCAGGCGCCCGTCGCACAGTCGCGACAGCAATATAATTACGCGCGAGCGATAAGGATGGGTAGCTTGGGGTCATTGGACAAAATTCTACGTGCTTTAGACATAGGCCTCCCCCAATGTTTTGCAAGTTGATCGATTGGTAGCAGCCTGCGTCCAGAGCATGGAAAACATTGGGGGAGGCCTGCGTCCAGCGCATGGAAATCATTGGGGGAGGCCTACGTTCAGCAGTGGACGTCCTATGGCTGAAATGATGATGATGATTATATGTTTACCATATCTTCAGTGGCGTTGATCAGCGCTTGCAGATCGTCGTCAGGTTTATTGTTCTTTATGTCTTCAACATCTACGTTGAATGTTTCGTCGTTGTTGGGTTTGTACTGAAACAAGGAAATACAATGTATATTGGCACCTATTGGCAAACTTCATAATTTCTATGTACCCGTCTCTCATCTATGTATGAAAGTGAGATGAAGAGATACAGACATTTACATAAGTCAGTTCAGTTAGGAGGTAGGAAGTTTTTCACCGGATTCTTATTAGATTTTAGTAGTAAAAACATAACACAAAATATATTATTATGTAACACCATTAAATAAAACCAACCTGCTTCCTTTCTTGCGCGTTGGGCCGCCGACCAGTTTTGGCCTCAAAAAATTTTAGGTCGACGTAAACCACATTGAACTTTTCTTTATCTATTTTTGCTAATTCTTGCATAAATATTTCAAACCTTTGCAGGTTCAAGTCACCAGCTTCATTAATATATCCTAGAAATAAAGAAGAATAATTTATGAACAAACTGAGAGAAATGGTAACGATTGAATTCTTGGCGTCAAGCAGAAGTGGTCCGTAATTCGTTAGCATATGGTGCATTTCAGATAAGGTGGATAAAGTGCGAGCAGAATGAAGACAATGAGTAATGTGGTTTGTTGTAATTTTACTACTTATTATTATTTAACAGCTAACATGGTTTACTGATGTTATAAATATGAAAGTGCTGATGAACAGATGTTTTTAATCTATTAAACAAAGAAAAGTGTGAACTCACCATCTAAGGTAGGTAATACCTTCATATACGTTTTATACAATAAAGGCAATGCATCATTTGATATGTGCATATGAGGTAGATGGGGTATAAAATCATTTCCGACTAAGAACCCCATAAGCACCCAGTCGTCTACGATCTTCTCTAAATCATACTCAAAGGGAAGCGAATCCTTTATGGACATAAACTCTTGCTCTAAGTACTCCCTTAGTAACGATAAGTGGAGGAGGTAGAAATTTGTTTCTTCGGGACTCGTCGCGCGTTGAGTTGTCTTCCCGAATTTTACCTGAAATTGAATATGAAATTAGAGAAGTTTCAAAAGAATAAGGCAAGTGCTAAAAAGAAAATTCCGAACTAGAAGGATTTGATCCTAGTTAGCAATGATAAGAAATTATTTAAGAAGGAAAAACTTGGCATCAACTATAGAAATGCTGTCTAAACTGACCAAGGTCTCAAAGGAAAAGTCAAACTTTATTGTTTCATGCAGATTATTGCTGGCCAGACTTGTTGGGAGCCTGATGTTTGCATATTTTGTCCCTCCGCCGCCCCTTACAACATCTATTGGATGAGTGGGGGTGGTCCTTTTTTATTATGTAGAAACCATATGGCTATCCAGGAAGAGTAGGGGTAGGTATTTATAGTATACCCAAGAATATCATCTGGTGAACACGTTATACTAGTATACTCATATTATTTTGTGAACCTGACTCATATACTCATGAACTCGTACTCGTACTGTTTTACTTGTAACTTGTGTACTTTTACTCATACTAATATACTAGTAAACTTGTACTTGTATACTTTTGAAGTCGTACTTGTATACTCGTGAACTCGTATTGGTATACTCGTGAACATGACTCCTATACTGATGAACTCATAGTCTTGTACTCAAATAGGAGAGACTTGTACACGTATACTCGTGAAATCGTACTCGTATATCCGTGAACTAGATTATTCTCGTGTTTCAAAGTCTTACCTCCTCCCTAAGCAGCGCGAAGTGCGGCTCATGCGTGCACATGCCCAGCATGATCAAATCCGCATCCAGCCCGTACAAGCAGTGCCGCGTATTGGGATCGTAGCCCGGCTGCGAGCGCGACCACCGAATGTAGTCCATTATCTTGTGCTCGCCTTCGCCTGGCGTCTGGGGAAAGAGGCTTTATTAAATTCAAACGGTTTAAAATTTTTGTTAAAAAATAGCATTAAAATAATAGGCAAACCTTTCAAACTTGAAAAAATATTGCCTCAGATGGGAATTGGACCTACGACCATTTGCTTGCTATTTGCTTATTGCCAAAAAAATTTATAACTAGTCATTTAAATTGAATTGAATAGAAGCGCTGCAGCAATGCATCTGTAGAGCTTCAATAATTAACATGTGGCCACTAATTTATTTCAATAGTTGTTAACACGAATTTGCAACAGTGACAATATGTAAATTAGCACCGTACTTCTAATTTGAAGGCGCCCTTACAAGTATAAACACAACAATTTGGGAAATAACTCCCTTCTGTATTACGAGAATATGAAATGTCTTACCTCATGGCCAGAAAGTATGACTTTCACTTTAGACCACAGCGGGTCAGTGGACATCTTCTCTTTTACGAAGAATCTTAGCTGCTCATGTAGCCGAGCCATGAATACCGTGCCAGGAGTGATGCAGTTACTGTCAAAACGTTTCTCCGTTGGTAATACTTCTCCTAAAATAAAAAACAAATGTTTCAGTTTTTTAATAATGTATTTTCTCAATTATTCTAATTAGAATCTAGTTATATTATTATAATTCATTTAAATTTATTTTTGTTATTTACCTTTGGCTTTGGCATTTTCTTCCAATTGTTCTGCTTCTCTGGCTGACCTAAATCTGAAAAAAAAAAAGCCATTAATAACTATTTCTTTACCAAGTCTTTTAATGAAAACTGACTGAGGCTGCACAATCAATAAGTAAAGCTTCGGACATGTCAACCAAAATCAATATATGAGATGAAGATTAACAGCAGACCTACATAAAAGAGAATTGGATCTAATATGAATTGTAAGTGTAAAGGCCATTTTACAAATATTTAATTGCTAACTTACCTTCTGCCTCTCTGTTGGTTCATCTTAGCTCTGGGAGCGACACCATCAATGGCCATGAAGAACAGTTTCTTTGGCTTGATGATTTGAAAGAGAATACTGAGATAGTGGAATATATCCTGGAATATCTTTTCTTCGGTTATCCGGAAGTGCGGGTTGGAGTCATCCGGGTGGGAGCAGTTGTGGATGATTCCGTTCATGTCCAGATACATGTTGTCGAATTCTGGTATCTATGCAAAAATGTGTTGATATAATACCTAATAAAGTATGAGCAAAAAATTATGTTTGTATTATTATTGTAAAACTGGAATTTCTGAGTTGTGACTTTAAACCTTTTACTATAATAGATACCTAAATGATATTATATAATCAGAATTAATGCTGCCAATGGTTTCATCAATTAATAATTTGTTGTGAAATCAAAAGGTTTTCAAGTGAAGGCATAGAGTGAAGGATGAATTATTACTTTTGTATAATTTACTGAAATGAGAAGATTCCTGAAATGGAATTAACTAAATAAGATTTATCTGTGAAAATTGTTGTGTACAAAATTTGTGTGTAAATTAAGGAAAACTGGAAAATATGGAGTACTTATCAAGATTTAAGAATTTAAGAATAACATACCTGATATTGTTTCACGAGCTCATTGAGGCACGGATATCGCTCACTCGTGTACCTGAAGAACTTTGGTACACCCATTTTGTATGATAGTCAGCAAATTATTTGCAAAACTGAAAGATTATTATTGGCAAAGGTTTGCCAATCGGTGACCCCTAAATCTCGTATAACCTTATCACAAAACGTTAGTTTATGTTCTGCATTGAAATGTATGAGTGCAGGTATTTAATTTTATGGATCCATTTATTAAATTAGTCGGCCGATTGGAAAATATCGGATAAAAAAGAATTAAATGTTCCAACATTATACATTCCTGAAACGTAAATTTTTAGTGATGTGTAACAGACAGACAGATGAGCAAACATCAGTTATTACTCGATTACGATTAAATAAAATAACAAAAAATATTTAGCAAAATAAAAAAGATTAACAAAAATTATTAAGCAAAACAAAAAACAACGTTCTGTTTTGAATTTCTAATTAAAGATTGTCTACAAAGTCAAATTAGAATCACTACACGAAATCTTAATGCTTTATCGGTATTATTACTCCAAAAACTTTTTACCAAAGCGCATATTTTCACGTAAAAATAATTGAGAATGTTTTTAATTTTCAAATGAATGAAATTCTTAATACGAGAAAAAATATTTTTTCTTAAATCATAATCCATTAAAATGGCGTTTGTATAAACGATTAACGAACATCACTATTCTGAAATCGATTGATTTGGTTGGTTGGAGTTGCATTGCGTTGTGTTTGTAAATTGTAAATAAACAAAAATACTATTTTCTCGAAGATTGTGATATAATTTTGCACTCATTGTTGTAATACAGTGCTTTTGTACATCTTACTGTAGCAAAGAATAACTGGTATACATTTTACAAAGGATCTGAAAACATAACCTAAAAGTTTTACAATATTGATGATAAATAATGGAAAACGACGAAATTGGCACCGATCTGGTCAGCAGCGGCTTCTTAGAAGAAACTTATGTCGTTAACGCTGATGATGTATTGGGCAAGTAGTTTAAAAACAGCGTATTAAAGTGTACATGGTGGTCTAAAGTAAGAGTTAATTAACCTTATTTATTTTCGTTTTTTTACAGAAGAAGAAAACAATTCGGATTCAAATTGTGGAGGAAAACTTGCCCCATTGAGAGAGCAAGATCGTTTTCTGCCCATAGCTAATATTGTTAAAATTATGAAGAGGGCAATACCTCCTAATGGAAAGGTACTAAACTAGTATTCAATATTTAAGGGATTTTATTCTAAAACAATGTTCACAAACAACACTTCAGCATAGATTAAGCCTGCTACTGTTGTTGAAGCCTGAGTACAACAAATCACTGCACTGATGCCTTTTTAGATTAGTGTCTGGTGTCTGAGCTATTGTGTTGGATTTTAATAATTCGTAACTGCTATTTTAGATTAAAAAAAAGCTAATTCTTTATCTTTGATCATTTCAATTTCATGATAACAGCCAAAAGTAACAATTGAAAGTTTTTTTTTATCTATGTGTGTATCTTGGAAGAAATAACATCCAATAAGAATTTTTCAAATAAGTTATATTTCGTTCGTTCGTACGTTTCAGCCAAATGACGTCCACTGCTGCCAAAGTTATATTTACTTACCGTTATTTGTCCACACAGATCGCCAAGGATGCAAGAGAGTGTGTCCAAGAATGCATATCAGAATTCATCTCATTCGTGACAAGCGAAGCCAGTGACAGATGCCAAGTAGAAAAAAGGAAAACCATAAACGGTGAAGATGTTCTCTTCGCCATGAATGCTCTCGGATTTGATAACTATGTTGAACCGTTAAAGTTATACCTTAAGAAATTTAGAGAAACTGCCCTATCTCCCGTAAGTATAGTAGCTAAGTTGTTTAATAATAAAATTGGAGTAATCATAAAATTTAAGAATAATGAACCTATTGTAAAACTTGCATGGTTTCTTGCTCACACGTTTGTATTAAAAATAGCATTCTAAAGGTATATTCATATTGCTAAAACATTGTTCAGAACCTGTTTTGTTGTTCCATTCATCCACACAATTCTCTTATTTTTCAGGTGACTATCAATAAAATGAATAAAATTGTGGTATACGGAGGTAAGTTTCCAGCTCTATTACCTTTTACAACTATTGTTTACAAATCATATTTGCTTGTTCACTTCAAAGTTAACCCATTCCCTGCCCACAACAAAAAAAAACTATGATTTGAATGAACTAGTCCAAATTCATGTAGGCTCTTCCTTACCTGGTAGCCAGTCATTCTATTTAGCTGTAAGAAGTATTTCAGCCATTTATGAGACCTACCGTATTTGCTCTCACTAGTCGCGTGTCTAGCGAGTAACAGGACCTTAATTCGATATTCCTCCGTATTTGCGCTCCCCATTTGGCGCCACTGTCTCAGCCTCAGTTGTGGCCTCAGCCACTAGCTAGTGATAGGACTTTAGGCCCGGATTTCATTATTTCCAGATTTCCATGGAAATCTAAATGGTTATTCAATCAAAATTTATCTCTTTTCGTCTCCTCTCTTCTCCACTAGACTGCATCTCAGGCGATTGCGGTCAAATACCTGACTTGTCTAGCATAAAAAAAAAACTTCGTGGGAAGCGTATCTTACTCGCTATAGTCTTTTTCACGTAAGATGATCCGTATGACTATTAAAGAGGAGAAGAAGTATGCGTAATATGGATAAGAAGGTTATCCATATTACGCATACTACATAATTATGCAGAATATTTTTGAAAAAATATTTGTATTTTATTAGCAATATAATAAAAAAAAAATAACTACTTGTCTTGAAATATATAGTAAAATCCGAGTCTATTGATTATATTTTAATTAAATACGATGTAAAATTATTTTTTATTTAATGTACGCATGAATGTGTGAAACGGAATAGATTTAGTGCTGGGGTATTTCTTGTTTAATAAAATCGATTATTTCCGCGGTTCATTAATCGATTGCAGTGAATACTTAGTTACTAAAAACATCACAAAAATCAACTATATTTTTCGATTATTGACTTTAATAAACGCATTGAAAATAAATTCATAGTTTTTAATTTCAAGAAACAGAACCAGTACTTTTTAGGAATCGTTTTTTTGAACACGAACCATGAAATTTGAATATTATCAATAAAAAATTGTTACAATAATATTTGTAATTAAAAAAATCATGTTTTTTGTTAAATAACACCTATACAAAATATTTCTCTAAAAGTAGGTTTCACTACCTCTTCGAAAAAAATCGATAGATAAATCGCTATGGTTTAGTTATGTGACATCTCTAAATCTTTCAAACTCGAAACGTCATACGGATCATCTTAGGTGAAAAAGACTATAGTGGCGCCAACTGGTGAGTGCAAAATGCGCTAGTCACTATTAACAGAGTAAATACAAATGAGTAGGTCATCTTCATAGAAACGCACCGAGCGCGGTTTGAATGTGAGCGCGCCAATATACGAATGCGGCGCGCTCACAAACAAACCGCGCCCGTGCGTTTCTATGAAGATGACCGCACACTCACTGCGGGCGCGCGTCGCACAGTCGCGACAGCAATATAATTACGCGCGAGCGATAAGGATGGGTAGCTTGGGGTCATTGGACGGGATTCTACGTGCTCACGGACCAGGCTTTACTCATTTGTATTTACTCTGCTATTAATGTATCGACCTGAAATATTTATTTATTTTACTTCCAGGGGACGGAGCGTCCTGTGTTCCAATGGACAATGACAATGACTCGCATTCAGAAGCCACGGTAATATACACCTATCCTAAAGTAATTGAAGACTTCACAATCACGTAAGTGAAAATCGCCTAATGGATCACGTTTGTACAAGTAAGGCAGCAGGAACATGTAGCTAGCATATTTTTAACCTTACCACACTTGTCTTAAGGTCGAGACAATAAAAATGTTAGCCTGCTATGCCTTACGAGGGGTTAAGTCCAGTTTTTATTGAGTCAGTAAATTGACATGAAAATTATCAGGACACCAGTGCTTACGTTATTGTATAACGCGCCAATAACATTGACAAAATATACAGGATGTCCCAAAAAGTAGTGTTCAGCCGAAGCCCAGAGGTAGAGCATTATAAGGGCGACCCAAATCACCGGCACCGTGACTTTTGATAGTTTTCGAGATATTATTTTAGTTTACATTCGTGGTAAGGATATAAACCTTCTGAATCAGTTAGACCTAGTATTCATCTAATAATAATAAAAAAATCCGTCATAGTGACCAAAAAAGTGCCTAAGCACAGAAATTTAAAACAATCATAACTCGGAAACCATCAAAAATCGCGGAACATACATGATTTGGATAGCCCTAGTGATGCTCTACCTCTGGGCTTCGGCTTAACACTACTTTTTGGGACATCCTGTATGTCTTGTCTATGTGATGAGTAAATATCTCTGTGATTGTTATGTGAAGTAATGCTGGATACTAAAAACTATTTGATTCAGTTGATTTTAATCATGATTTACTAATAAAATTACCCGAGTCTCTTGGCGCAGACTCTACAGCTCTATGGTCTTTATTTCACCGGGACACTATGGCTGCAAACATATTGTTGCTACATTTTGGCGCAATGTAGTTGTGGCGCCATTGTGACTTGGTAAAATAGCGATTTTCAAGAGCCCAGTATGACAATCTACTGATTCAAATAAAAGATTGGAATATAAATACCAGTTATGGCCAGTTTGCATAATGAAGACAGTTTTAGGGCTTGTTCAAATTAGCGTTTTTTCGGGTGGTCACTTAATAAAAATATATTAAATAGGTAGCTATAAAAATATTTGGTGCAAATCGCACGTATTACAAAATTGGTGTTAAGTTGTGATGAAGCTCAATCCCTTGCCTTGTTCGAAACTCGCTTACAAGAACTCTAAGGCAGGATTCACATTGACCGGCGCGAGTCGGCGCGCAGTGCAGCGTCCGTTCGGCCAAAAATGCGATGGAATGTGCGCGTCGGAGCGCGTATCCGCTGGAATACGCTCGGAGCCGATCAGCTTCCGACGTATGCTCGCGTTTTTCCGGATTTCGGATTGAAATGTCAGTTAATCAGTTGTAAGCAATTACGATTCTAAGAACTGTTAATAAAATACTATTTTCTTTACGGCCGTGTAAGTGCGCTCCGACGCGCGCCGGTCAATCGGTATCGTCCCTTACGATAGTAAGTATGTTGACAAATGTAATCCGCTGAAGATGTTATAAGGCATAAGGGATCGCTAATCATTTTTAAGTTCGCTGGTACTCGGTCCTAAAGCTCGAAAAAACGCCAATCTAAAAAGCTCAGTCAGAAATCAAAGGAATGACAAGTGCAATTTTATTGAGGTAGTTGATAGTAATTTAAACTGACCCCGAAAATATAAAAAAAAACTAGGTATTACATTTATATTGCAAAAAAAATCGCCAAAACAGTGTTGTTTCATCTCAATAACCGTTTTGTTTTAAAGTAAAGGTTGTGTAGTTTAAGAGATGTGTCTCAAGTATAATTTTTCCAAAAAATATGAAAAGACTCATAATCGCCTTATTATGTCTTGAATTTGGTACAGGTGACAGCACATCTACCTTCCCCGATGAATTTGGAACCGTATGTCGTTTCAATTAGGTTTAAAATCAATTAAGGTTTAACATTTTGTGGCAGATAGATGTGGTGTTTGACTGTACCTCGAGGCTCAATTTTTCTCAGGCTAGGGTTACGCATTCAAAAGCAGAAATTGAAATAGGTATACATACTTATTTATTTATCTAACACATTTTACTGCTGTTATTTAATCACAATTTATTAATGAGCATCATTTCGTTTTATACAAACTGATATTGTAATAAATGATGTTAAATAAATTTTTAACCCTATCAAATTCTTTAATTTATCAAACACTTATTTATTAGTTATTATAAATCATTTTTTTATAATAATTAAAATTATAATTTCTATTATACACATACGGGATACGGTCGCCAGCAAGCCGATCTATCAAAATAATTGATACCAAAAATGAAGATTTTCTAATTTTATAGCAAGTTGGTTTGCTGGCGACTATACATTTTAAATTTAATAGCACTATTTGAACTTTTTAAACGACTAAAAATTAAATTATTCCCTAAACTTATCTGTGATGTAACTGGGCAAAGGTATCAAATATAGAAACTTGTTTAGGACCATTATTCCGACTGAAAACGCGAAAGAAATCCCAAGGTTGAATTCCAGGTTGAAGTCTCCAGAAGTGTAGATGTCCCCAGCATAGTTCCTTGCTGTGAACCTCTCAGTAAGGAAGGCCTTCCCACTGGCATATCGGCAGTTGGCATTAGAGTTGGTGTTCAGTGATGATGAAGTCTGGATCAGGCTGGTGATGGAAGTGCAGTTCTCCTGGTCGTTATAAGGCAGGATGTTGAATCTGGGCTGCTTGAAAATGCTGCGATGCATAAAGATGGACGCGTACCGAGTGTGCGTTATGTACGTCACGTAGTAGAGCCAGTCTTCGTAGCCTTTGTACGATCTGAAAGAAACGTCCATTTTAGACCTGGTTTCCACTAAACCAGGGAGAAGAGATGTTTGAATACTAAATAATACATCATTATTTCGTTATTTCCACATCACCTCTTCGCTCGATTGCCTATTCAAACACATCTCTCCACCCCGCTTTGGCGGTAACCGGGCCTGCCTTAGATTAGCTAGGATTTGACCAAGACTTTTTGGCGTGCTTCCCAGTTTCACAAGTTGGTCTCTTATTCAGTTCATAATTTTATACGTGTTCAAAGAAAGTGGGTACCAGTCACAAAAGTCAACTTGCCTCTCCAAGGAATGCGCTTCTCTCGCCAGTCTGGTCACCCGTTGTCCTAGGTGAGCGACATAAGTTACGCGACGCGCGCGACGTAATGCAACTTTACTTGACTCCTACTCTATATTTTGGTTTGTCATTCACCTAGGACGACAGTTCATGCATGCATATGCATGCATACCCGGAAACTTGGCCCTTGCTGCTCTTACCTGAGCACGCCACTGGCCAGCATGACGTAGACGCACGTGATGTATATGTTGACCACGGCAGCGATCAGCCCGCGCTTGACCACCATCATCACGGCGATGGCCTGTTGCTCCGCGAACACGTAGCACGACCACAGCACCAGCGCGAAGTATATGAAGTCTAAGTTCTCTGTTATGTCGCCGAGGATGCTGGGAAATGGGATTTTGATTCTTAAGTATTAAGATTTTAAAGCTAGTTTCCTTTTTCAGGTACTGATATCGTTCGTTTTAACCAAAAGACAGTTCTGTAGCTTTACCATGAGTTTACATTATACACCATTGCTAATGAGTCCGTCAAAAAAATCTATGAAGATTTCAGTTCTTGAAAGTTACCTCTAGGGGCGCTGTACAATTTGTCATACATTTCCTGTCATTTTTTTTCGCAGTCGATAGCGAGCACACCTAAAGTAAACTCATGGTAAGCACACAGGTCGACTACGAAATACGGGCGGGCGAATTCTGCGGGCTATGACTACGGTTACTTTGGTTCTCCTACGGATCTCTTCATTTTCTGATTCGATCACGTAGGGAAACTCCGAGTATTGCACGCCTTTGGGTGGCCTTAAGGATTATGAAGCACACGATGGTAGTCTGAGATCAAAAGTTGTAGTTGGTCTATCAGAGTTTATTATTTAAATATTCCATGAGATATGTTGTGGGATTATCACCGTTGCTAATCTTACAGATTGTGTATTTTAAGAGGATATTCACGAGTACTTACTTGTAAATGATAGCTGCTGAAGCAAAGGTGCTGATGAAGGAGAAAGGCAGCGAGACGAGGTTCCAGGACAGCAGTAGACTGGCTCCGCTGTACAGCCCTTCTTGGGACTCCTGGTAGTACCGCGTGCGGTATGGACCATCTGCAAGCGAATTGTGTCTTATTCCATGTCATTTAAGGTTCATAATCCTTCGATCTGCTATCTTCTGAACTTTTAAAACTATCTATCTCATCTAAAAACTCTCCGAGAAATGTACTGTAGGTACTTACACAAACAAATTGTATTCATAATACTGACGAAGTAAGTTCCCACCATGGCGTTGAAAATGAGTCCGCTTTTAGTTATAAAAGCTCTCTGATAATCCTGAAAACAAAATATCTTCATTAATCCACCATTTCCATCATAGGAATGGAAACTAACCCATTACTCGACTAGGTAATAAGGGGATGTATGAATATTACATACCTTAGCTTCATTGTAGAATAGCCACAATATCAAGAAGTAAAGTGGTAATGTAAATAACCTCATGAACATTTGCTTCAGTCCGTTCTTCCTGAAGTTGAATATTGATACCAACATGCGCCTGCGAAACATGTTTTTTATTAGAGAAGTCAAGAAAGAGTAAATAATCAAGACCAACAATAAAAATCTTATATCAATTCGACGTCAATAGTTGACTGCATACATAAGTCGTATAGAGAGATAATCCCATCCCTTCCCTCGCGCAATACTTTCTAAACAAAACCAAAGAACACATCGATATAGCAAACTAGATTAGCAAACTGAAGAAAAGACCGGTAACTGCTCGGGTCAGAGTTCTTGAGTGGAGGACGCCCTCTAGCTAGATGAAATTGCGAAAAGTCGCTGATAGAAGCTACGTGAAACAAGCCGAAGACAGGGTTACGTGAGGCGTATTGGGGGAAACTTAAACCCAGTAATAGCCCTGCTATAGGTTGATGATGATGAGCACTTACACATACAACATCCAAATCACTTGCACGCCCCCCGGCTTTCCATACTGTTTATTCGGGTTCACGATCCGACTGTGCTCGGTCATGTGGCCTTGCATGATGCCCTGGCCCTCCAGTTTGAACTTCTCCACCAGGGCCGCGATCTGGTGGTTGGACTCTATGAACCGTTCACGGGATCTCCTGTCCACGGTTGATAGGCATACTGTTGAAGGGAATTGAAGGTTTTATACTTGTGGACATTTTATCAAAGGTTATACATAAGTACAGGGTATTCGAAATATTTAAGTATGCTGTTGCAACTGTTGCAAGTATTGCAGTTTCAAAAACAAACTCATGTTAAATTGTTTGACTTTTGGGAAACGCTTCTGGCAAAAATATCAGGG